GCCGCGCCGCCCCCGAGGATCCGGAAGGAGTCGGCGGGGGACTGGGCCGGCGGCGGGGAAAACCCCGTGGGCGGCGGCGTCGCTGTTGCTGCCGGAGCGGGAGCGGGCGAGGGCGTGTGCCCGGCGCTGGAGCTGCTGCTACCGGTGGAGGTGGGCTGCTGTTGTTGCTGCTGCTGCTGCTGCGGTCCGGCACCGCTGTCGGCTTCGAAGTCGTCTTCGGAAGTGTCCATGTCCATCGAAGTGGAGTTGAAATCCGCCTGCGGTTGCTGCTGCGGTTGCTGCTGCTGCTGCGGTTGCTGCTGAGGAAGGGGCATCGCCGCCGTCGCTGCCGCCGACGCCGACGCCACACCTCCGCCAGGCGGTACCAGCAACCCGAAACCTGCTGCCGCCTCCCCTCCCGCCGCGGCAGGTTGTCGTTGCACCACGCTCGTGTCGTGACAGAAGTCCAACAGAGACGTCTGGCGACTGCCTCGTCTAGGAGGTGGGGGCGGCGGAGGCGTTCGCCCGCTTGCCGCCGCCGCCGCCGCAGGGGTGGCGGCGGCGGCGGCGGCCGGTCGGCCGTCGGTGGTGGTTGCTGAGAACTTGAGGGCACCCGATCTGCGCTTCTTTACGGTCATCCCGCCTAGTCGCGCCTGTGGCAACGTGACGGAGCCGGGAGGGGGATGAGTGCGGCAAGCAAAAAGGTTACAGAGACAGACAGGTAGAGACAGACAGAGCATGCGAAGTAAGTCCAGACGCCCGATCCAGCTTTTTATCTGGTTGACGACTTGTGAAGTCAGGACGTCTTACTTCTAGACCGGGTAGACAGGGCGTTCAAGAGCCTTGGGGAAAAAAATGAGAAGGATGTGGCACTGGTTGTGACCTGCCCATTGGCATCAAACTAGCCGCAATCAGCGGGCCGCTCGCCGAAGAAACGGGAAACACCGCATCACTGCTGTTGCTTCCTTGGGTGGTAGAGGGGTGCAGGTGGTACTGCCGTTGTCAACACAAACACACACAGCCGGCAACTATTTACTGTAGAACGGTCGGTGCAAATTCAAAAATACACACACACAGATTGGACGCGGTAGCCGGCGCAAAAAAAAAAGGCGGCCGGTGTTCATCGACACACATACATACATACATACTGATTCCAAAACACGAATACATACACACATAGATCGGGCGGGGGCAGCCGGCGCAAATCAGGGCCGGCCTGCCGTGAAACGTGCTCCCGAGGACCCACCCTCTCTATGTCTGGCCGCACTGTAAGCATGTGTGCGTCAATGAAACGATGGAAGTAAATCGCGTCTCGAACGACAAAAAATCTGCTGCACGACTCCATCTGCTTGATGATGGGAGCACTACTGGTTGCAATGCAAGAGTTAACACCGACAAGATGGATCTACCCGTCTGTCTGGGAAGGAACACTCGCAGATAAGGGGTGTATGGAACAGCAATCCTTCGGTCACACCTGGGGGTGGGCACCAGCTCCTGGCCAACGGGAGTATCGCAACGAGCCGTCGCAGCGACGGAAAATAGTGTGCGTGTGTGTGCGAAGCGGAAGCGTGTGGGTTCCTAAAGCTGGCTATTGTTGCGTGCGAATTCGACGCAAAAGCTTCCAACCCCGTAGAAAACCCCGCATCAAATTCGCACCTCTGTACAAACTCGAAAGCCTGTGATCGCGGAATGGAACAACCCTGTTTGCAAGGTCACGGCCGCTGTGAACGGTGTTTAAATGTACGACAGCGAAAGCCAGGGCCGATTGGCGGCCGTGTTTCGATAGTATGGCCATTGGTGAGGTAGCCAGGGCGCAAGATCTATCCTTGTGCAGTCTACCGTTTTCTGCTGCAAGATCTCCAAGACCACCAGCAAATCAAATAATTGTGTCTCAGATGCAAGTATCGCGTGAACAGAGGGTCATGCTTCAAAGCAGACCCGAACAGAGATGCAAGGCGACAATAGGGAGAGATGGCACGACAGTAATGCGGGCAACCTGCAACCTGATACCATCCGAGAACCGACAAATACTTAACAGCCGTGCCCTCAAGGTTTATCTACTCTGTTTGTAGCTGTAGTCTATCTCTGTTGCCGCATACTACTCATGATGCATGCTGTATTTACTAGGAAACATAAACACAAACCTGATACTCTGAACGCAGCTTCCCTCTGGAGGATCCCGGGCTTGACCCAGACAACCGCCGGGACACCGCCGGTGCTCGCGGGGGCGTCCACCCAAGCTCGCCCTGTCTGTCAGCGGCCATCCTCCCCCCTCGAAGCTGCTGTCGGATTCGGGCAGCAGAGCCAGTCCAAAGAGGTTGGTTCGCGCAAAATTGAACGATCAGTCTTGCTCGATGAGCAGCGGCCTGTGCGTTTGCTGCTGCTGCTGCTGCTGCCAGTGGCCCTTCTCTTGCTGCCAGGCAGCAAGGGACAAAGCAGCTGGCTCGGTCCCGCGCAATCCCTGATGAAGTCGTGGTGGTGACTATCTGTTGCTGTTTGGAAGGTCGCGAATTTGCCCCCCCGCGGCCCTGTGTTCTCGTTCGGAGTCCGGGCGGTGGATTTGGTTCCTCCCCAAGTGCGAAAGAGAGCTGCGCAGCACCCTCGCTCGGCTCTCGACTGCTGTACTACCAGGCTTGGAATGTCTTGCCGAAACCCTCAAGAATCCTCCGTCGCCAGCACCCCACACTATCCGCAACGTAGAAAGAACACAAGCAGGCAGCAGGCAGCAGCAGGCAGCAGCAGGCAGCAAGGAAGGGTGGCGAGTGCTGTGGGCCATGACCCTGAGAATGCGTCCAATCCGAAAAAAAAGGGTTTCCAGTTTTGCCCTAGAAATTTGAGTTGGCGTTCTTTCACGGAGGGGGGATGCCCCAAAAATCCCCTTTGAAGTGCAAGATCTTCGGGAATTAGGTTTGAGAAATCGCAGAACATCTTGAATTTAGAGTGGAACGGGCAGCGGAATCTCGATATTCGGCGTAATTAACAGAGATCGCAACCAGAAAAATCGGGCCCCTGTGTTTAGTTGACTCTCTGCTTGCCGCACGAGCTCATCTTCCTTGATCACCCGAGCTCACGTGGTTGTTGCCTCCTAGCGTCTACCCGACGATACCAACTACCACAACTCTTCTCCACCCTCCCACTAGCATCATGAAGTGCGCCACTGCATTTGCCCTCATGGTGGCTTCGGCCAACGCATTCGTACCGAGCGCACCCCTCCCCACGGTCACGTCCCGCGCATCGTCATCGAGGTGAGTGAGAAGGAGAGAGGGCCCACAAAATGGGATGGATATTTTGCATGTTGTGTCTCGATCATCCCACGACGCGCAAGTGGCCAGCTGCTTGTCCGTGCCACCGCATAGCAGGAGGAGATAGGCTGGGGTAAGGTGTGGATCACGAGCTTTTGTTTCTGTGTGGTCAGAGGCCTATTCTGTGTGTCGCATTGAAGGCATCAGCCGCGGGAGGGAGGTGACCGCCACACCCGCTCGTGTAGAAACATGCACCCTGACGCCATCATTGTGTATAGGGTGAGGAAAGGGAGGATTGGGGGGCAGGTTTGTGGACGGAGCAGCTGGCTGGATGGGAGATTGGAGGGCTTGGGTGCTGGAGTGGATGAGTGTTGCCCCATGGGTCAATCTCGGCTCAAGCGCGTCTGGTCTCTACTTTTTGACTCCTTCGGCCTTCTTGCATGCAAAAACGACGGCCTGACTTGATTGACTTCATACGCACACCACCTCACGTTGAGGTGTTTGTCTGCTGTATCCGGCCAACCGCATGTCCCTAGAACCTGGTCGTCGCTGTGCACATCGTAGACCACTCGTGGGCTGGTCTCGGCGCTCTTCTCTGACACGGACCCACGCGTCCCTGCTGTTATCTACACTACAGCCTCGTTCCAAAAGCCCCAGTAGTATGCTACACCGAGATGCATTCAAAGGAGAATCCATTTCACTTCATTTTTGAACGCAACACAAAAAATCGTCTTCGTATGCGTATCTGCGATGACTAAGCATGAACCACCCGCGATTGGCTTAGCCGCACATTGACGTTTTGGGCGCAGAGAAGCACACACTTTGCACGCTCTTCATGTTGGAACGACTAGGACAGCGTGGGTATATCAGCAATTGGATATAATCCTGCTTTCTCTGTGTGTCTACATGTTGCTGTCAGCGCATACTACCAGTTGACATACATGCGTTGTGTGGGTCTTGAAGAGTTACATGATGCGCAACTTTCTGTGGTCGCAGCAAAAAAGCTGCCGGATATTGATTCCTACGGAGACATATGAGCTATTAGAAACGTAGTAGTCGGGTAGTCGGGTCTCAATCGGTACGGTGCCTGCGGGTGAGTTGTCCAACCTCTCAAAACCATCAAGTTCTCACTGACGGGGAAATGGAAGTAATATGCCAAGCGTTGTCGACATCCGTCAACTGCAACATGGAACAATCATCATATGCATATGCATACGTATAAACGCTGCGTACAATAGTGGTTTGTCTGGCCCGTTTAGGCACCGTATCTCGGCGTCGCCGTTAGCCACAGGATGGGAGACAAATAAAGCTTGTGCTGATGGAATATGCGTCACACGCCATGAACCAAGGTCTCGGGTACAGTAGTGTACTAACCCCCCCCCCCCCCCCCCCCCC